CGCCGAGGATCTCGGCGCTCCATCCCCTCTCGGAGGCCTGCGGTTCCTGGGGCGGCGGCCCCAACCGGAGAGGCGACGTCGTCGGGCGGTGGACGACGTTCGCAGGGGTGCTGGCCAGTGTGCCTGGCCGCGCGGGCGGCGGGTGGTTGGTGGAATCCGGCCGCGGCGCGAAGATTCTTCGTCAGATCTGGAGGTTCGAAATCCCTTCCCGGCTACCTCTCTCTCGCCGTCGGCGGTGGCTTGTGATTTGCTCTCTGGCCCTGGCGTTGGTGCGAGTTGGTGGCCAGCTAGGGGACCGGGGGAAACCTTGGCCGGTCCGGCCGGTCCGGCGGCGGCAACGCCCAAGGGCGCTGCTTTCCTCCATGGGGGCGCAGCCGAGGTCCCCTGCTTCCACCCCGACCCACCCTGCCCGGGTGAAAACCTTATATCCTCTCGGATTTGGCGGCGGCGGCGCCTTGCGCGCCGTGACCTTGCTGAAGGCGCCGTTAGGGAGGCGGGATGCGGTCGGGAGGCGCTGCAGGTGAGGGACGGAGCTGCCTCCTCTTCATCGTCCGATTCCACGAAGCGTATTTCCACCTAGCTGGGTATGGACCGTGGCGGAGCGGCCGGCTAGGGATATCCCAAATTGAAGTGGCCGCACTATGTCCACCTTCCGATGTGAGGGCGGCATTCTTCGAGCTCTAGGGTGAGCTCCTCGAAACCCCGACGGTGCGGCGCCTACGAGCCATGGCGAGGGGGTAGGGTCCCTCTTCGGTGATTGAGATGGAAGATGTTGTTCCCCTTCTTCTCTAGGTGTTCCTGGAGCATGGCCATCTTTGAAGGTCGGATATGCCCTGTTTTTCTGCTCTGCTTTTCCTCATATGATCCTAGTGTGGAGTGCTCGGCCTTTACAAGCTGTAATCTTAATTTCCTTTGCATTAGCTGCTTGTGGAGGTTGTAGTTAGCGTTTCAGTCCAGTGTTCCCATTGTATCCTTCTGACCGCTGTAATTTGGTTGTTTGCTGTAACTCCTGGCCGGTTGATGGCTTTGTTAATTCAAAGCCGGGCTCCTCGCGAGCCTTCGTTCTAAAAAAACATTTCGGTAATTAACTATTAGAGTTTGGGAGTAGTAATCGGCCGCTCTACGTCGAACAGCCACCCTCCGCCGCCCCTCAAGATCTTCCTCCCATGTGTGATGCGTCCCAGCGACGACGCAGCTGCCCCGCCCCACCCGGCGGCCCTCTCCCAGTCTGCACGCACTTCGGCCGGCGCCCTGAGATCGCTTCCTCTCTTGCCTTCCTCTCTTGCCCTCGTACGTACACCGGCGCCCACTGATCCAAGATTTTACACAAAGGCATAGCACTAGCAGCAGTATAGCAGACACAAGCACATATCACGTAACAGCACCACACACGAACGGGCATCACACACAGACGACACGCAACACGGCAGACAAGCACATCCATAGAGAGGACTACGCACGCCACGTACGCCACCTGCACGCCGAGCAGCAGGCCGGCCGCAGCATGCGCTTGCAGATAACGGAGGAAAGTGGAGGTAGCGAAGAAGAGGGTAGAGGGGGAGAGAGGCGGAGGGCGTTGCCCCAGTATATGGATACGGGGCTCGAGGTGGCGTCCGTGCAGTCGTGGGGCGGTGGGCCGGCGCGGGGCGGGCTGGACGTTGGCGATGGCACAGGGCGGGCTGGCGATGGCCGGGTAGCCTCTCACGATGGCGACGGAGCAAAACGGACCTAATGAACGCTGACGACTCCGTGAAATTCCAGCTCTGCCGCCCGCTTGATTCTGAAGGGAATCTGCCTACGGGATTGGTTAACAGTGAACTACCCAAAACGTCCCTAATTACTCAATATACTACTGAAAATCTGATGTAGTATTGCCTAATCTGAACCATACGAATCATAGAAATAAACGGCCCTAATTAAATTGATGTATCGTAAAAGGTCTCTAGGCGACGGCTTTGAGATGCATATACAAGCATTCTAGAAATGAAAAATGTACGCCATGATTGTGAACTTGCCGGCCTGCCGGGTTCTACACAGAGCCACCCTAGGGCACCCAACGTACATCAACCAAATGCTGGAAGAGTAAACGTGGACTATTTACCTGACAATAACGGGTTCGAAAAGAAATTGATTTCGATCATATCTTGTTGCCAACTAATCACTCGTTGGGTGTTAAAGAGGTACTCCCTCCTTCCATCTATATAGGGCCTAATGCGTTTTTCAAGGCTAACTTTGACCAAATATTAGAGCTATAATATATGACATGCAACTTACACAAAGCACACCGTTAAATTCGTGTGTGAAAGGAGCTTTCAATGATATAATTTTCACATTGTGCATGTCATGTACTATTAATCATGTCAATAATCAAAGGCGGTCTTAAAAAATGCATTAGGCCCTATATAGATGGAAGGAGGAAGTATACAGGTTTGACCATAACCAAGTCACACACTTCTACATTAAGTACGTACAGAAGTTTTGCACAAATAGACAACCCATGTTAAGCCTGCGCTAATCAATGCAACTACGGGAATCAACGCACGTTACACCATGTTCGTTCAACGCATAGATCAGTGTGATTTATATAACTGAACATTATCACCACACGTTATGGGGCGCCCTGGCGGACGACTTTGAGATGCTAAACGAGTACACGCATTTCTAGACAAATATGGACATGATTGTGGAATTGCCTGGCCGGCCAAGTTCCTATAAAGAACAGCAACCCTACACACTCAAATTGTACATCAACCATTGTGCTCTTGTCCTTCAAACAACACACCAAATAATTACCAGCAAGGGAGCCATTGGTCTGGCAACGGGCGCCATGGGCACCCTGCTCCCCAAGCTGCTCAGTGTTCTATATATACACCTGCACATATCATTATACATTTATACTTCATGAAGCATAAGTTGAGTGATAAATCAGCTGGACCGCCTGATAAATGACGGAACAAACTGAAAACAAACGTTGGTGTATGAAAGTTCAACTATTGCACATTTAGAGGTGCCAACCATGCATTGTGGCAGCCATGTGGCCGGCCAAACTTGACCAACCTGCACATGTGTATATCCGCAACCGCCATCATGACCTCTCCGTCAATGTCATGGTGCATACTGGACGGAGGGTGCATCTTACGTACATGAGCACCTTTGCATCTATCATGCCCATTGTTAATATTGGCACCTTATATATCTTGAAATTTGTATGCAAATTTCATGTTTTTCTTAATATTGTCACCTTTGCATCTATCATGCCCATTGTTTGTTTTTTTGGTTGGGTTATCATATTATGACAAATGTTTTTGGTTTTCGATGCTTAAGTGTAAGTTTTGACCAATTTCAAAACTTACAAACCAAAACAAGGTTAGTAGCCAAAGTTTAAAAAAAAATTGCATTTCGTAATATCAAGATTAGTAGTCAGTCGAAGCTTGATATATTGGTGAAAGTTGCCTCTCAAGAAACAGCGCACAATATCATTTTACATGCCTGGAGGGGTAACGTACGTGGACTTTTTTATCTGACATTAACAGGTCCTAAATGAAACTGATTTGATCTTGTCTTGGTGCTAACTAATCAGTCGTTGGGTATCTTGCATGGCCTTTGGACCTAACCAAGTCGTGCTCTTCTACATTAAGTAGTACGGAGTACAGAAGTTTAGCACAAAGAGACAACTGCACGTTATGCTCACGCTCATCTATGCGATTACAGGAATCAATGCACATTATGCCATGTTCATTCAACGCCTAGATCAGTGTGATTATATATAGCTGAATATTACGAGTGCACGTTACTGAAAGCATCCTAGGCGATGACTTTGAGATGCATACAAGCATCATAGCGAAAATGTACATCTGTACCCACAAAACAAAATGTACATCTGTGTGGCCATGCTGGGCCCACCGGCCAAGTTCTATAAAGAGAGCAACCCCGCGGCGCCTAAACGTACAACAACCACTGTGCGGCACTGGCGGAGGAGCCCAGTGGGCAAGGTGTGGCAGCCGCCACACCTTGATTTGGCACCAACTTTTTATATATATAAGCATATACTTTTCTTTTTAGAAATGCAAACATATACCACTCGTTAGTTTTAGACCACGCTAGATTGATTCATCCAAACAAAGCTAGATGAAGCACATAAGTTAGATCGAAAGCACACAAACTGGCAGCTTGATTTATGTGTTGCCCAGCACATGCCCATCTTACTACGTAGATGTACGCGAACCAGCTCGCTTCCACTGCACATATCCATCTCACTACATAGACGTATGCAAAATAACTATCTTTTGCATCTCTGAGGCCAAAAATACCTCCCCAACAGATAGTGTAAATGCAAATAATAATAATAATAATAATAATAATAACAATAATAATAATAATAATAATAATAATAATAATAATACATTTCCGTCTCCCGGAGATGCAAACTACAACACCTCACGGTGCAAATTTGCATCTACACTTTTAGGAGATGTAAAAGGAACGGCAATGCGTCAACCGCCCAACCGTCTTCATTGCACTTCCGCCAGCCCGCCCGCCGGTGATTTTTGCCCTGAAATGCGTCGCCGTCGCCTGTCGGCCCATCCCCGACCCCACCGCCGGCAGCAGCGTCGTAGCCGTGGCCGACCCGTCGATTTGAGTCTGCTACGCTGATGACTGCCCGCCTCCGCCGCCGGCGATTTGTGCCCGAAAACGCCGCCGCTGCCGCCAGTCCATCCATCCCGAACTCCATTGCGACCCCACGACCTGTCCCCACCACTGCATGCGTCTTCTCTAGACATCATTAAAAGATTATGTGCAGTGCAGTTTGAATTGGCTATTATGTTTTTGCATCAAATTTTTTTTTGAGGGGGCATCAATTTTGTCTAGTTGACAGTTTGCCACACCTTAATTTTTTTTCGTCCTCCGCCTCTGACTGTGCGCTTGTCAAACAAACACCAAACCCAATAATCACAAGCAAGTAGCCATGGATCTGGCAACGGGCGCCATGGGATCCCTGCTCCCCAAGCTGCTCGAGCTCCTCAAGGAGGAGTACGAGCTGAAGGAGAGCGTCAAGGAAGGCGTCAGGTCTCTTGAGAAAGAGATGACGAGCATGCAAGCTGCCCTCTGCAAGGTGGCCGACGTGCCGCGGGACCAGCTCGACGAGCAGGTCAAGATCTGGGCAGGGGAGGTCAGGGAGCTCTCCTTCAACATGGAAGACGTCGTCGACAAGTTCTCGGTACGTGTTGATGATGGCTCTGAGATTGCCGCCAACCCGAAGAAGCTCAAACGGCTCACCAAGATGATGGCCAGTTTGTTCACCAAGGGGAAGACCCGCCATGAGATCGCTGATGCAATCAAGAGCATCAAGAAGCAAGTACAAGATGTTGCTGACAGGCGTGCAAGGTACAATGTTGACAACTTTGTCGCTAGGCCGGCAGCGGTGACACCCATCGATCCTCGCCTTGCGGCTCTGTACACGAAAGTGACAGAGCTTGTTGGCATTGCTGGGAAAAGAGATCAAGAGCTAATGAGGTTGCTCTTTGAGGAAGACAACTTGCCCAAGAAAGAGTTGAAGATTGTCTCTGTAGTCGGATTTGGAGGATTGGGCAAGACCACTCTTGTCAAAATGGTTTATGACAAGATCAAGAGAGATTTTGATTGCGGGGCTTTTGTTCCAGTTGGTCGAAATGCTGATGTGAAGAAGATTCTCCGGGATATCCTTCTTGATCTTGGCTTGGACGAAAGCCAGCTCACCAAGTTGGATGAAAGACAACTCATCAACAAACTTCAAAAAGGTCTAGAGAAGAAGAGGTACGCACATATCACATGTCAGTCACTTATTAGTGGCACCTCTAGCTTACCTAGAGATAATTTTCTTCAACTCTAGTTATTAAGGTGTACATGTAAATTACTGCCTGGGCACTAAAATATATAGAGCTAATATAATATACAAAAACTAAGACTTTTCAAATTGCTGTTTGATCTTAATTTTTTTTTATAAAACATTTAGCCAATGGTTACAAAATTGTAATCTTATGGAAGTTCATTTAAATACGAATCTAATTGCGCATATTCCGTGTAACATAAATTACGTATTATCAGACTAATTGCTGGTCAAAGCATGAATTTTAGCGGTCAAACTATGCTTTATATTTTGGAATTGTAGTAGTATTATGGAACACATTTTTAAAGATTCTTTAGAGTAAATTCCATTTTTTACCTTATGGTGGTTGGTTAAAAAATGTCATCACATTTTGCACTTAATTTTAATATTGTGAAAAAGATTTTACCTGTTTATTATCTGTCCCTGACTGAATAGCTAGATCGATTTGTTAGGTAGGTCATATAACTCAGCTACGCATTCATTCGAGGTTTACCTAGTTATGTCAAGTTCCACTAAATTTATATAAACTCATTCAAATCCCATAAAGTTGTGTCACTTTTGCCGTAAAAGGGCCCCTAGCTCCACCATACTCCCCATGCGCTATGCCAAACCGTCGAAGAATATGGGCCTAAATTGTGCATCCAGCTGGATGCCATGTAATCCCTAGTTTCTGACACTACTGTTCATCTTATTGTTTTCACGAACAATAAAATGATATAAAAGTACTCCCTCCGTTTTTAAATATAAGACCTTTTAGAGATTCCACTATGAACTACATACAGATGTATATAGACATACTTTATAGTGTAGATTCACTCATTTTGCTTCAAATGTAGTCTATAGTGAAATCCCTAAAATGTCTTAGGAACGGAGGGAGTAATAATGATCATAACTGAGTTGTAAAATGGTACTAAAATAGGGTACGATTAAGGAATGTGCAATAGAGGAGGGGTGAGAGCACCATACAATAAACTATTATAAATGTTGGCACAACTAGCATGATATATATTTGTAATCATTGTTTCCCACTACCGGTTGTAGTTAAACATACATGTGTCCCATACAATCTACTCCCTCAGTCCAGGTGTATAGGGCATACGTGTAGTTCTAGGTCATCTATTTGATTAACTACATGTGTGTTATATGTCATCAAAAGAGTACCACTATAGATTCATATGCAGATGTAGTATCTAAATATATATTTGTTGTCAAATATAATACATATTTAGATAGTTAAATTGTTGACCAGAACTACATACATGCATGCCCTATTCACCCGGGCAGAGATAGCAATAATTATATAGTGTAAATGGGAACATCTAGTGATACTATGGAAGTATATAAGAACACCTAGGAATTGTGCATACTAGTCAAGGTCATTCCTCCGCCGCTGGGTCGCTCCGCCGTGCAAAGCCCGCCGGCATTGGCGGCGGCGAGGCATCTTCTCCCCATGCACATTGTCAACAGGTGCGCGTGTCCGAAGTGGGCAGGGGCTGGCGTCGGGCCCGGTCTGGACTCCGCGCTTTGTCGCCGACGATGCTGACGCTTGCGGGCGCCGCTCTCATCTTGAAGATGTGATCGTGATGTCCTCTCTATGTCCTGGTTCAGGGTGAAGACCGTTGTTCGTTTTGGATTCAGCAATGGCGACGCTTAGCGTCGTACTCCCTCCCGAGGGTGTTGTCGCGGAGCTTAGGTGCTATAGGGCATACCGCGGCGTTGTTCTCAGTTCTTCTACGTTCTCTTTCGATAGTGTAGTCACAATGCGGTCTGCGTGATCTGGTTCTCTTGGGATAGACATTGTATGAGGGCTACCTCACCATCTTCTATCGTTGGGCCGTGTAATCTGTTTGGTTTTTGCTTTAATAAAGCGGGGCGAAAGCCTATTTCGAGTATTCGGTTTGAAATTTGTTCATACTCCTTTCTTATTCAGAAATATCAAGGAAGTTAAAAATATGCTAAAACTATATATGGCATCACTTGCAAAAAATTCATGTACATAGTTTGCTTTCTGGTATTCTAGAAGTAGAAATAGTACATGATGATACTTAGAATAATGTGGTATTATATGTGATACCGCACGGATGTATATGAGACATGGCATACTGTAGGGTGTAGTTATACCTGCATCCATTTCATACAACCTAGGGAGCACTTATATATTGATGCAAATAACTGGTAGGATGATATATTTCTACCACACTAGTCCAGGATCTATCATATCATGGTTGTGATATTACAAAATGTGTACAGTTTCCAATCATGAAGAAATAGGCTCTCTCCGACTCAAATAGATCAGAAAAAATGTGTAATTAAATGTACCTTTATTGAAACATGATTGTTAATCTAGCAATTGCAGCCTTTCCCTTGTCTTTTTGTCCCTTGCATCTTGATTACTCTTAATTGTTTCTTCGCAAATCTTATCCCTGGTTTATAATGTTAGATTATCTTTAACTCTACCTTCTCAGGCTTACCATTAATGATCTCGTAATTGATATAGGTATCTCATTGTAATTGATGATATATGGGAAGAAAATCTATGGAAAATTGTCAATTTGGCATTCTCTAATAGCAATAATGGCAGTCGGTTAATCACAACAACCCGTATAGCCAGTGTAGCTAAATTGTGTTGCTCATCCACTAATGATTCAGTCTATCAAATGGAACCACTTAGTGATGATGATTCTAAAAGGCTTTTCTATAGTAGGATATTTTCTCACGAGAGTGTGTGTCCTCATGAATTTAAAGAAGTATCTAGAGATATATTGAAGAAATGTGGTGGTGTGCCATTAGCCATCATAACAATAGCCAGTATTTTGGCTAGTGACCAGAAAGTAAATTCACATGATGAATGGCATGTTTTGCTCAAGTCTATTGGGCGTGGACTTACTGCAGACCCCAGTGTAGAGGAGATGTTGAGGATACTATCATTCAGCTATTATGACCTGCCGTGTCATCTGAAGACATGCTTATTATATCTAAGCATGTTTCCGGAAGATAGCAAGATCATGAAAGATCAGTTGATATGGATGTGGATTGCCGAAAGCTTTGTCCAAAGTGGAAAAGCAAATACTGGTCTCTTTGAGTTAGGAGAAACTTACTTCAATGAGCTTGTGAACAGAAGCTTGATCCAGCCGGTATATGATCATTTTGGCTCTGTACATGCTTGCCGTGTACACGATAGTGTACTTGATCTAATTTTATCCTTGTCAAGTGAAGAGAACTTTGTTACTATAGTGAATGGTACTAGTGATACCATGTCTTCGGAGGGCATTGTCCGCAGATGGTCCCTCCAAAATGATAGAACAGAGGAAGGTCAAAGAAGGCCTCTCAGGTCTAAGAGTATCGGACAAGCTAGGTCTGTTGTTACATTTGCACCTGCTATTGATCTGATGCCACCATTCTCGAGCTTTGTTGTTTTGCGTGTATTAGATTTGGATTTGCATGGATATGGTGGTACTAAGGAGGCCCATCTCAACCTTCAAGAGTTGGGGAGTTTGCTTCACTTGAGGTACCTACGTCTATCTGGAACAAGATTAGGTGACTTGCCGGAAGAGATTGGAAAGTTGCTGTTTTTGCAGGTGTTGGATTTACCTGGAGGTACAGGACTGCCGTGGACTGTGATTAAGCTTACGGGATTGTTGTCCCTATGGATTAATGGTGGGAGGTTTCAACCTCCAGATGGTTTTGGAAACCTGAGATTAATGGAAGTGTTGAGTAAGATCAAAGTTGGCTCTGTAAGCATTGTAAAAGAGTTGGGCAACATGCATAGATTGAGGGAGCTGAATATTCAGTTTGTGAGTTCGGGGCTGGTGGAATCTTTTGTGGAGTCATTAGGGAAAATGCAAAAGATCCAGCGTGCAAAAATCAGTGCCAAGTGTGAGCGAAAAGTTTCAATGGATCTATTGGGAGAACTTTGGGTGCCCCCTGCAAGTCTCCAGGAGTTTATCATGAAGAAAGGCGTGAGATTATCTACCCTGCCGGCATGGAATCCATATCATCTGTCACAACTCTCCAAATTATTAATAAGTGTAGGGGATGTGCGACAGGAGGATCTGGAATTCTTTGGAAGGTTACCGGCGCTTCGGATTCTTGGGTTACTGAGCGACAACCAATGGCCGCTAGTCGTTGGTGCCGAGGGGTTCCGTTGTTTGGAAAAGTTCATGTTGGTTTCCAAATCACCGAGCCAAATATTGTTCGAGCCAGGAGCTATGCCCAAGGCCGAACTAGTTGTCCTCAGAATCGATTTGCAGGTGGCAAAAGAGGAAGCAGCTGGCAGCAGTGGCGATTGGTTTGACGTTGGCGTGGAGAACCTGCCGTCCCTTCGGCAGGTCGAAGTCGAGTTCTACCGTTGGGGAGTGACGGTCGGGGAGGCCAAGCAAGCGAAGGCTGCGCTGGAGAAGGCCCTCCGCGCCCATCCTAACCGTCCGCCTTGGCAATCCGCTTCGACTTCTACTTCGACGAGGACATACCAGAAGGTAGTACGTCATTAAAAACGATGCATGCTTGTCGTTACTGAATCACTGACCAGCCTTTCTTTCTTCCTTCCTTAGGATGAGGATGAGGATGTCTACATCAGGTTAGATACAGTTTTGTTTCCCGTTGAGAAGAAAATCATTTAAAGGTTACAAACTGTGTATACGTACATGCATAGATTTTCTTTTCCACAGTTATTCGCATAGCCATGCTACACCTTCTGACACTACTTATTTTTATAGGCTGCCATTGTTTTATTGGAGACACACATCTGCAAAACATATGGGTATGCGTACCGACCGCTGCAGCATCGACTCGTCACTCTGTGAGCTTATTTCTTGGCTCAGTGAGGAAAAAACAAAAAAAGAAGGAAAAAATGATATGAAAATATTACAAAAAAAGTATTCGCGCGCTACTAGTTGATTTTGCTTCTTAGCTTAAAAAAAACAACAAAATTGGGAGGGCAGGGGGGAGGGGGGATGTACATGAAAAAAAATGTTTTTTATAGTTTAATTTGTGTGTGTTTTTGTTTCAATCTCGAGATCAACTTATTTTGTCCAACAACACAAATGAGTAAATATTTTTACTACTGTGGTCTTTTAGTTTGCTTAATTATTTCTAAAAAATTCTTGTGTCCATCTTAGCAAAAGAAAAAAGATAAACAAAAAAATATATTATTTTTGCGTTGTAGCGTCCAGTGGCATGTTACCTCAAGAAAACAAATAAAAAAATATAGGAGCTAGGTGTTATCGCACTTGGTAGTGTTGTTTTTGTTTGGATTTCGGTTCGGTGGATGGATTTTTGAGGGGTGAGGGAGGTGGGGGAACTCCGCCTATGTTACTAATTTTAAGCTTACGCTTAATAGTATTCATAGCCGGTCCCAAGCCCGGAAAAAGGAGGACGATCCAACCTATACATGGCTTGATATTTTTATTCAAAGTTTCATGATTTTATTAGTATTGTCACCTTTGATCTATCCTGCATGTTGTTCTTTTTTTTCTGGCTGGGTTGTAATATTACTGGCAATCATCCATCACGCAGTTTCGAGGGACAAATTCGTTTGGTTTTCAATGTTTAAGTATCTGAAGCTTACAAACCAAAACAAGAGTAGCAGGCTAAAGTCTGGAACAGTTTTGCTTTTTGAAATATCAATATTAGCAGTCGGTCAAAGTTTGATTATTTTGTGTAAGTTGACAGCAAAGTACACAATAGCTTGACGACCAGGGAAATTGCAGAGGAGGAAGAGCAGAGCAGAGAAGGGACCCAGAGCAGAGCAAGCCGTCTCTGGCCTCATTGCCCACGGCCCCGACCCGCCTGACCCAGAGCAAAGCATGGCCCCCGACCCGCCCGACCCCGGAGACCTGCCGGTGAGTACTCTGGCTGTATCTCACTGCAATCCCTAGTTAGAGCACAGTTTGCTTCCAAGAGCCGATTCTGTGATGTGCAATTAAGCATGACTAGGAAATTGTATGTGCTTGAACGTATCCGTATAAACCCTCATGGATCAGATCCTTTTGTTTGTCACAAACCGCACAAAAAGGATGTTGGCTTTTGAACTTGATCAAATCACCCAGGAATACGTATGTGCAAGCTAGCAAGCACACAAGCAAGTAGGTTGATTGATGCACAGTAGCACTAGCACTGTAGCACATGCACGTATCGCCGTAAGCTTCTGTACGTGCACCTGGGTGGGGAAGCTAGCTCTCTAGTGACATGATCGATTCGATATACGACGGAACGTAGCGACGGAACAGACGGGAAACACAAAATCGGTATGATGGCCAAAGGCTCGTATCGAGCCTTGCTCTATTTCTTTTTTTGTTTTTCTGATCTTACAACGTGGGGTTACAGGGTATATAAAGGAGCTAAACAGCCCAAGACTTATCCTACTAGGCCACTGTTTTGAGTACTACTCGGACACACTAGTACGAGTACTACTCGGACACTCGTAGACGGCATGTTTAGTTCTAACAAAGGAAGCCTTGAAAGTTCTCAACCACTAGTTCAGGCTACTCCATTAATACACACATCGACTTCAGTTTGACACAAAATTAGCACAGTGTTCAGTTGAATTTCGTACATAAAAACTAGTGGAATTTATTTATTTTTTGACATTCATGAAACTCCCCTTCAGAAAATAACTGCCACTGAGAACAACACAACTCTCAGTTTTTGATAGGTTGTGTGAGTAAAACACAATTCTACGTTTTACAGTTTTACAAACTCTGATCCCGCAGCTGACGAAACAGATGCAACTTATTTCCCTCTCTTGTTAGAACTGGAGTGATCTACAGTTAGTATTATGATGATTTCCACGTTGGGAGTGGGACAACCTATGTTTTTCGTGCTTGATAAATTTGAACGTTTTTGGTTTTTTCTGTTAAGAAATGTTCAGCTCATCTCCGACGAGATTCAGGGGTGTGGAACATAGAGTGGTAGCAAAGAACGCTGCGCTGAAGGTGTTAATGATGTGCTTCTTCAGCACGCATTTCCACCCAGTCTCGATGAGGATGTACGGTCTGATCAAGGAGCTGTTGTCCGATGAGAACCCACTGTTGTATAGAGAGACCCTCGATAGAGACTACATCAAACATTGCTACTCCACAAAGTTAGATGCGAAGGTTGTTATTGTTGAATATATGAGAAAATTATTACGAGATTTAATCCGAATAAACACAAAATAAATCATGATAGCAATAACGAAAACTAAACTAATCATGTGGACTAGCATAGTAGATAAACAAATCAAATCTAGGACACATACTAGAAACATGATTTCTACCACGATCTCAAACAAGAAGGATGAAATTACATACGGTGCAACGGGAGCAGTACCTTTGAGTAATAAATCAGCTAGACCTCTTGTCACAACTTGAAGGAGCCAACTGAAAACAAACACCTGCATATGGAAATCATGTATGTGAGGGCTGCTAATTACTTTTTTGTGGGTAAATCATGTTACTGAATTTTCATGTAGGTGTTCGAGAACAGGACCTCTGTTTCGTCATACAAGCAGGTTCCTCCATTTGCTTCCAAAGAGAGACACCGGCTATGACAGATTAGCTCAAATAAACGCCTCAAGCAGATGGATCGCACTAATACTTCCAAATGTGAGTATTGAAAAAACCAATGGGGTCCTGATAAGGGGTATCATGTAGAAATGGATGGCAAAGATAAGGGATACCATGTAGCATGAGCTACAGAAAACCACACTTTTTTTTCCAGTCAAAAAGACGAAGCCACTGTCCAGCAAGTCAAGAATGCACTAGTTTGGTGTTGTGGTGCATATACTAGAACAGAAAATAGTACTACAAATCTTAATGAAATGCTCCTCAATTATACGTCATATCAGATTTTGTAAGAACTGAGCTTTGCATCTTGGCACCTGAACGCGTATTTCTTTTCTTTCCTGTAAAATTCTTGATTGCCATTAATTTTCGCTTGAGCTGTTGAGCAAACGCATGAATCGCCAAACTGTTCAATCTTCAGTTACGTTTCCAAGCAATGTTGCACTATCCGAATTGAAAGAGCTGCTGCTCCATACAAATCGACAGAGAGCTCTTGCTGGGAAGACGATTCTAATCAATTAGTTAGGCAACGATTCAAAGATGATGACAATCGGGTGCTTGCCCCTGGCATGGGAGGCCGCTAACGTTTTTTCTAGACAAATGAGGCCGCTAACTTTTTTTTTTTGAGAGATCTTGCCATATTTATTCATCCAAAACCATGGTCATAGGTACAAGGTTTGGGTCATGAGGATTGCCCAACCACACATGCCTACCTACGCCTAGGTTACAAGCAAACTTGACAAGATTATGAGCATCAAAATTAAAGTTCCTACGTTTGAAAATAAAGGAACTGGAATTGAAACTATTACAACGGCTTATAATTTCATGTACTATAGCCGCATTTGGACCTCCTGTCCCCTTTGTAATATCATTCACCGCCTTTTGGCAATCTGATGCAACACAAATATTTTGAACGGCCAAGTCATCTGCTAACAATAATGCTTCAGACATGCAAACGTCTCCAGGATTAAAGGGTCATTGATCCCTCGGAAAACTACGGCTGAAGATCCCAAATATTGGCCCGTTTGATCTCTGCACAATGCCGCAACTGCTCCTCCACGTTGTGATCTCACAACAGCAGCATCTACATTAATCTTCACAGAACCATTGGGTGGTGGTAACCAGCGTTTAGGCTGAACCGGAGGTGGTACTCTTTCCTCCCTACGGTCCCTGTCCACTTTCAAGTTGACCCAGTTCAGAAAGAAAATTGTCCACAAAGCGAATGGTTTGCTGAGGGCTCCGGAACAACGACTCATACATTGCCTTGCGTCTAGCGTACCAGATTGACCATAAGGTGACAGCCATCCTTGTGAAGCTCGCCTGATCAAGTTCGTCGCTAAGCTCAAAAAGCCAAAGTCTAGCATTTGGTTCTGCATTTACTGTCATGCGAGAGACAAGATCATCGTCGGTCAGCGCCCATATGCACCTAGACATAGTGCAAGAGACGAGGGCATGCCGCCATGAGTCTTGACACCCACACAGACGAGGGCATGCCGCCATGAGTCTTGACACCCACAAAGGAGGCTGCTAACTGATTCACTCCATCTTGTACTGGACGAGTGTTGTCTTGGGCCTTCCAGAATTACACTCGGATGGATATTTAACAGTAGAGCTGACGCCGTATCTCACATTCTCACCACCTGAGAGCATTTCTAACCGATTCACTATATCTCCTTAGTAGAGTGAATTTGGCTTTTTACTCCACTAAGTTTGACCTAGCCGATTCCCTATGCGGCTTAGCGGAGTAATTTTTTTACTCCACCCCAAAAAATCTAAGTATATTTACTCCATCTCTACTCGGCTGAGTAAAAACAACACCTCTTCTCCTCGCCTCCTCTTCTCCCCCTGCCCTCCCCTGCTCCTCCGATGGCCGAACGTGGTGGCCGCTGATCCGCAACGCGAATCCGCGCTGCCACGCGCGCGGGTTGTCCTCCGCGGGCTCTTCATCGAGCCGTTGTCACCGGTCGCCTGATCCACCCGCCGCCATGCCCTACGTCGGTTCGAGGACTTCCCCGTCCTCCCTCCACCCCGGCCGCCGACAAGGACCTACCTCGGGGTCTGGTAGCGGCACCGGGGGATGTGGGTCGCCGAGATCACGGATCAGGAGACCCACACCCGCAGGTGGCTCGGGACCTTCCACACGGCCGAGATCGTGTCCATGTAGTACGACCGCTGGCAGGTCCGCTACCACGGCGCGACGGCTCGGCTGAATTCCCCCTTGGCAGGGCTCTGTTCCACCTCGTCCCGCCGGAGCCGGTGGTGGTGAGCTCGTCTATTGCGCGGGAGGTCCGCGAGGCGAGGGAGCGCCTTGAGGACGAGTCCACCGACAAGGCCTACATGGAAGAGCTCCGCCTGGAGCACCCAACGCTCGTGGAGGCGGGACGGATGATCTTTGCCAACGTCGACGGCTAGGTTATCGTTATCTCTGACGAAGAGGTCCAAGGCGGCGAGGACGATGGCGCGGAGGGCGGCGAGGTGGGCGGTGAGGGCGAGAAGATGGACGTCGACGAGTGGATGAGTGGCTTCCCCGACGATAGCACCGGCCCGGACCCGGCTCGCGGCACACCGTACCTGACGAGGAAGGATTGGCTCGACCTGCACTTCGACCGAAAGAAGTTTAGTAGCTTAGTTTAGTTTAAATTTATGTTTTATGTTTGGTTGTGCAAAACTATCTATGTTTATGTTTGAATGCATGCTACTTTTGGTTCAAATTACTTCAAATTTGGTCAAATTAAAGTTTACTCCATTAAGTTTAGGGGATCAGCAAGAAATGGCAAAAAAATAGTGTTGTATATATACTCCACTAAGGATTTTACTCCGTTAACTTTTAGTGGATCGACTAGAGATGGCCTGAGGAGGCAGGTGCACCTGTGCTTGTGGTGCACCTGATGCACCAAACTTCCATGGCACATCCGAAATGCTTGCAAAATTCTGAAAAATAATTACCACATTCACACAACGTCAATCAATGTTAGAAAAAAGATAAAATTCACACAACATCAAATGAAAATACAAGACATAGCTCAGGACAGAAAAATGATAAATTCAACACTAAATAATACATACCATTAGTTGGTTTTCGATATGGCTCATTGTCTATATTGATAAAAAAATCTCATTTGTTTATCTCAAGCTATGTTTCTAATTTTGATTTGAAATTTTGTGGCAA